AAGGGGACATTGGGGTTCCCCCCATATAGACATCATCAGACGCGGTGTATACAGAGAGGTCATCCCGCCACTCCGTGTAATAAACAATCGGGATTTCCATCATGCGGATGTGCTTTTAGCTCAGTGGGTTTGAGGTTGCGGATAGCAAAGCTATTGCTTCCTCTGCTGTCTGCCATCATTTCCGGGGGTGCTCCCCCCCCCCACACAGATTGGGGGGCAGAGGGCACCTCCCTGAAGTTGCTTCTTTCAGGTTGGGATCCCTGGTACCCCCTCCCCCCCTACCAGCACCACCAGGAAAAGGGCAACTAAATCAGATCAGCGATGTGCACTGTAAGTCCCTGTTCTTTCTGCCTTACACCGCTGACATCTGTGCGTTACATTACTGACCTCTGCACTGTGCGTTACATTACTGACCTCTGCACTGTGTGTTACATTACTGACCTCTGTACTGTACGTTACATTACTGACCTCTGCACTGTGCGTTACATTACTGACCTCTGCACTGTACGTTACATTACTGACCTCTGCACTGTGCGTTACATTACTGACTCCCCCCCCCCCCTAAAAAACAATTTTTAAAAATAGTATCAAATGAAATAAATGTGAAAAAAATGAATAAATATTTTGAAGTCCCCCGCCCCTTGCGAGCACGCGCGTCATAACGTAAATACGCGTCGGTTGCGCCTACGTATGAAAACGACCATCGCGCTACACATGTTGGGTATCGCCGCGCACGCCGGAGTGAGAGCAATAATTCCGGGGCCAATATTTATGTGTACGTCTAAACGGATGACCTGTGGGGGGGGCTTTTAAAGTGTTGTCTATGGACTTTTTGGGGTACAGAATTTTGTCGCCGTTTCACGGACGCACGCAATTTTTAACCCGGGCATGTCGGGTATCTATGTTCTCGTCGTCACCTCGTCTTTTATATTTTACAAACAAAATTGGTATTTAATTGTGCTTTGGGGCACTAAATGTAACTTAAGTGCATTTTTCACTAAATTTTTGAGTTTGATAATAAGTTGCGCTAATATCGTGCGATATAAAAATTCGCAACTGCCGCCATTTTATTCTACCGGGTCTCGGCTTTCAGAAAATATATGATGTGGGGGGGGGGGTTTGAAGTAATTTTCAGGCCCAAAATGTAGATTATAACATGGGTAAAAAAAACTGGGGGGGAAAGGCCTCGGTCATGAAGGGGTTAAAGGAGACCTCCACTGACAGAGTACGGAGGCTGCCAGGGCTGATCTTAGTGTCTGGCCGTCATGCTGATCCAATGGCTTCAGTGCAGTCTAGTATACAGGAGCTGCCTGCGCGCTCCTGAGAGACGATTATAAAGTGATAATGATCGGAAGGAAGAATGGCGCACACCTACATGTCCTTTGTCGTCCATCTCGTTGTTGGTCAGCTTGACGCGGTCGAAGCTGATGATCTGCCTCATCCAGGTCTCCCCGGAGCAGGGCGAGTCGGGGTGAATGTAGAGTCGGGGGGTGATACAGGAGTGGTCAGTGTTCCCGGCGACCATCCACTGCGAGCTGTGATAGACGTACCTGCCAAAGGGAAAGACGGCCATTAATACCCCAGCAGGGGGCTTCAGGGGATCAGTCTGCCTATATGGGGGGCTTCAGGGCCTCAGTCTGCCTATATGGGGGGGCTTCAGGGGCGCAGTCTGCCTATATGGGGGGGCTTCAGGGGCGCAGTCTGCCTATATGGGGGGGCTTCAGGGGCGCAGTCTGCCTATATGGGGGGGCTTCAGGGGCGCAGTCTGCCTATATGGGGGGGCTTCAGGGGCGCAGTCTGCCTATATGGGGGGGCTTCAGGGGCGCAGTCTGCCTATATGGGGGGGCTTCAGGGGCGCAGTCTGCCTATATGGGGGGGCTTCAGGGGCGCAGTCTGCCTATATGGGGGGGCTTCAGGGGCGCAGTCTGCCTATATGGGGGGGCTTCAGGGGCGCAGTCTGCCTATATGGGGGGGCTTCAGGGGCGCAGTCTGCCTATATGGGGGGGCTTCAGGGGCGCAGTCTGCCTATATGGGGGGGCTTCAGGGGCGCAGTCTGCCTATATGGGGGGGCTTCAGGGGCGCAGTCTGCCTATATGGGGGGGCTTCAGGGGCGCAGTCTGCCTATATGGGGGGGCTTCAGGGGCGCAGTCTGCCTATATGGGGGGGCTTCAGGGGCGCAGTCTGCCTATATGGGGGGGCTTCAGGGGCGCAGTCTGCCTATATGGGGGGGCTTCAGGGGCGCAGTCTGCCTATATGGGGGGGCTTCAGGGGCGCAGTCTGCCTATATGGGGGGGCTTCAGGGGCGCAGTCTGCCTATATGGGGGGGCTTCAGGGGCGCAGTCTGCCTATATGGGGGGGCTTCAGGGGCGCAGTCTGCCTATATGGGGGGGCTTCAGGGGCGCAGTCTGCCTATATGGGGGGGCTTCAGGGGCGCAGTCTGCCTATATGGGGGGGCTTCAGGGGCGCAGTCTGCCTATATGGGGGGGCTTCAGGGGCGCAGTCTGCCTATATGGGGGGGCTTCAGGGGCGCAGTCTGCCTATATGGGGGGGCTTCAGGGGCGCAGTCTGCCTATATGGGGGGGCTTCAGGGGCGCAGTCTGCCTATATGGGGGGGCTTCAGGGGCGCAGTCTGCCTATATGGGGGGGCTTCAGGGGCGCAGTCTGCCTATATGGGGGGGCTTCAGGGGCGCAGTCTGCCTATATGGGGGGGCTTCAGGGGCGCAGTCTGCCTATATGGGGGGGCTTCAGGGGCGCAGTCTGCCTATATGGGGGGGCTTCAGGGGCGCAGTCTGCCTATATGGGGGGGCTTCAGGGGCGCAGTCTGCCTATATGGGGGGGCTTCAGGGGCGCAGTCTGCCTATATGGGGGGGCTTCAGGGGCGCAGTCTGCCTATATGGGGGGGCTTCAGGGGCGCAGTCTGCCTATATGGGGGGGCTTCAGGGGCGCAGTCTGCCTATATGGGGGGGCTTCAGGGGCGCAGTCTGCCTATATGGGGGGGCTTCAGGGGCGCAGTCTGCCTATATGGGGGGGCTTCAGGGGCGCAGTCTGCCTATATGGGGGGGCTTCAGGGGCGCAGTCTGCCTATATGGGGGGGCTTCAGGGGCGCAGTCTGCCTATATGGGGGGGCTTCAGGGGCGCAGTCTGCCTATATGGGGGGGCTTCAGGGGCGCAGTCTGCCTATATGGGGGGGCTTCAGGGGCGCAGTCTGCCTATATGGGGGGGCTTCAGGGGCGCAGTCTGCCTATATGGGGGGGCTTCAGGGGCGCAGTCTGCCTATATGGGGGGGCTTCAGGGGCGCAGTCTGCCTATATGGGGGGGCTTCAGGGGCGCAGTCTGCCTATATGGGGGGGCTTCAGGGGCGCAGTCTGCCTATATGGGGGGGCTTCAGGGGCGCAGTCTGCCTATATGGGGGGGCTTCAGGGGCGCAGTCTGCCTATATGGGGGGGCTTCAGGGGCGCAGTCTGCCTATATGGGGGGGCTTCAGGGGCGCAGTCTGCCTATATGGGGGGGCTTCAGGGGCGCAGTCTGCCTATATGGGGGGGCTTCAGGGGCGCAGTCTGCCTATATGGGGGGGCTTCAGGGGCGCAGTCTGCCTATATGGGGGGGCTTCAGGGGCGCAGTCTGCCTATATGGGGGGGCTTCAGGGGCGCAGTCTGCCTATATGGGGGGGCTTCAGGGGCGCAGTCTGCCTATATGGGGGGGCTTCAGGGGCGCAGTCTGCCTATATGGGGGGGCTTCAGGGGCGCAGTCTGCCTATATGGGGGGGCTTCAGGGGCGCAGTCTGCCTATATGGGGGGGCTTCAGGGGCGCAGTCTGCCTATATGGGGGGGCTTCAGGGGCGCAGTCTGCCTATATGGGGGGGCTTCAGGGGCGCAGTCTGCCTATATGGGGGGGCTTCAGGGGCGCAGTCTGCCTATATGGGGGGGCTTCAGGGGCGCAGTCTGCCTATATGGGGGGGCTTCAGGGGCGCAGTCTGCCTATATGGGGGGGCTTCAGGGGCGCAGTCTGCCTATATGGGGGGGCTTCAGGGGCGCAGTCTGCCTATATGGGGGGGCTTCAGGGGCGCAGTCTGCCTATATGGGGGGGCTTCAGGGGCGCAGTCTGCCTATATGGGGGGGCTTCAGGGCCTCAGTCTGCCTATATGGGGGGCAATACATAAATTCAGCCCATCAGCTAAATACATCTGTGGGAAGCGCTATACCTGCCGAAAGATTTCTCATTCTGTTGGGCTGCTCTTGTGACTGACACACATCTCCGTATAACCATGAAGGTGACACCACTATTCCGCATCCCGTGACACCGGCAATCGGCAGGTGTGGGGGAGGGGGGTCACTGGGGGCGGGAAATGAAATGATGATCACCTGTATCTCTTGGAGTCCACGGGGATGATGTCCATGGCGATATAATACTGTTTGTCCGGATCGAGTCCTTTCACTTTCACCCGAACAGATGGGAACATCCTCCTGAAACACCGAGAAACCGATTTATGGTTATTACCGGAGCTCCGACAATACAACGCGAGCAGGTAAAGGTGATGTGGGCGTGTCTTTAATTCCCTGTCATGTGATCCGCTATTCATGGTCATTGTCATTCACCAATCCCAGTGAAACTCTTCCCCCACAAAGTGCAAATTCTCTTCCATGACACCTCCAATGTCCAACATGAAGAGCCCCGAAACTGGGCGAGGAAAACAACCCCAAAATGTGGAGGACGGAATATTCCTTAATCAGCTATAAATTATATATATCAGTCGGGGGGGGAGGGGGGGTGCCGGGTGCTCACCCATAAAGTCCACAGGAGGTCTGGAGGCGTTCACAGGTCATGACTTCAACAAGATGGACGGAGCTCCCTCTGAACATTGACCTGAGGGCCCCTCTGCGGATTTATTATTATTATTATTATTATTGGTACTTATAAAGCGCTGACAATATTCGCGGCACAAATATGGAAACTGCAGAAAATCCATTTATAACTCGCTTTAAAAGTGACACGGAAGGGATTTCAGCGCAAACCTTTCCCGCACGCTCACCAGCCAGCCTGCAGACCAATGACAATGTCTGACGATGAGGGTTCCGGAGGTTTTCGCTGCACAACGTTTGCAGAGTCTGCGGAAGCCGCACCGCCTGCTCGTCGCCCCTCCGTATGATGCGGTCCTAACTGTAATCTGTGAGAGCCGCCATCTTGGAGCGTACATAGCAATGTATGGATCGGGTGCAGGGATGTCGGGCGGCAGCCTGACCTCCTTCAGGGCTCATTCACACCACATCCAGACCGTCACCAGATTGTTTCCAGACCTAAAATTCATCCTAATGTATCCTTATGCTATCCCTGGCCTCTGTTCACACCAGCGCAGTCCGTCCCAGACCAGAAAATACTGCGCGTCTCACTTTGTGTGGTCTGGAATGCACTGGAACTGAGGGCCGGTTCTGCCATTTTCCAGGTCAGATCTGGTCCGGGAAATGGTGTGAACTCTTGTAGTGCCGCATGGCTGGTGGTATTCGGCATTGCTATATGATGATTATACAGCAATGCAGAAAAGCTCCAACTATGGAGGACTACAAGTCCCAGCAATGCATTATATTATTAGGTAGGGATACACCAGTGCCAATACCGGGCATTTTCACAAGTACTCATACTATTGCCCCGATACTAAGCGCAGATACCGGTGTTCTGTCGAGAACGTTGACCTAGTCGAATTTGCCGACCTCGGCATCTGCGCTTGCGCACAGACCGATATTATCGAGGAAACCCGGGATTCATTCACAAAGTATTTCATTCAAATCGTAAATTGTGACCGATAATAATATTCCATCCATCATTCACTGCCACCCGTCATTCACTGCCACCCGTCATTCACTGCCACTTCCCGCGGCGTGGCAGGGGGGTGTGGGGGGGGGGGGGGGGGGGGGCCCTTCATGGTTTCTTGCACCGGGGCCCTGAAGGTTCTAGTTACGTCTCAGGACAAATATGTGCAAAACTGTCCCAAATTGTGACCAATGATCTGTGAGGAGTCCTGTGCCAGATACTGCCCCTGTGCTCATTCTACACGCAACATGTATGTGCCCGACATGTATGCAGCGACATGACACATGGAACATTCATGAGACGGGTCGCTAATTGGGGTTTCCGATTTCAGACACTCGCCGCATTCCACAGATCATACAATGTGATTCATTGCACACGGGGCTGGACGCAGACCGACGCAATCAATGTGCTGATCATAGATCAATGTGTAACATTCCCTCATATGTCATCATGTATGTCATGTGTAAAAGTCCCCATCCAGAGCATGTTTACACATGTGTGTGCATCGCTGCACCGAGGACACTAGACCTGCGTCCAGATCCACGAACCAGAAGCGCTTTTCATTGCGCGTGCATGAGGCCAGAGTGACGCAACCTGCGCTCTATGAATGGCGCAAATCTGATGCGTCCAATGTCTCTGCTCTTTGTAAATCTGCATCGCCGCCGATGTCTCTGCGCCGCGACATCCGGGTACTCTGCGAATGCGATGCGTGTGTCCGGTGCTATCGGGGTGACGCTGTGTGGAGAGTGCGGCGCGGAGTTCTGCGGACAGCTCGGCCCGCATGGAAATGGGGAGAAGATAGAAATGTAAATAATTAGGAACAGAATGAGAGGAATGATGACGAATCCTCTGACATGTCCTCCGTGCACACAGAATACACATCATACATTCTCCTTTACACCGCGGGCGAATGTGGCCGCTCGTTGTCTGACCGCAGAGCGAATGTTACATTGTATCGGATCCGGACACATGAGGGAATATGTGACTTTATTGTTGATGGGCGAATGTGGCCGCTCGTTGTCTGACCGCAGGGCGAATGTTACATTGTATCGGATCCGGACAATGTTACTTTATTGTTGATGTTCTGAAGTAATAAATCATTTGTAGTCTCTGCGAATAACACCCCCATCATCCAATCATAGTTCATAGGAGGTGAATGAAGAGCCAGGGTCACCCAGTGCAGCTCTGTGTGTATATATATATATATATGTCTCTCATATTTGGGTATTTTTTGGAGGTTTAAGAAACTAATTGAAGATTTTCTGGAGTTTATGTGACCA